TATCTTCAAGTAAATCAAAAAGTGTGTTGTTCAAAAAAATCTGTAGTTTACAGCGTTCAAACGTCCATCAAGTACATGCAAACCTAGTAAATTGTTGTTAAATAATCCACCCCAAACGTTGATGCTGAAACGTTGTTGAAATTTCCTTGGTCTAATCGCATGCAGATTTTGTAATGCCCAGATATGTTCATTATGGTAATTATTTATACCATCTCGTGTAAAACATGATTCATCTGTCCAGCGATCATTTGAAATGAAGTCATTATTTTGGGCATGTTACTACAATAACCATTCACAAAATGCTAACCGTTGCTGATTATCTCCTGGCTGTAGAGCTTGAACGTTCTGTTTACGATACGGATGAAGGACTTGTCGATTCAATACGCGCCATGCAAAATGTTGACTTACATGTATGTTGTGTGCTATTCTTCGAGTGCTGATGGAAGGATTATCAATGACAGCATTAATTACAGCTTCTTCGTCCGCTACATTAACTACATGCGGTCGAATAGGATTACCTGTTTCTCAAAGTCTTCTGAAAGAATCGCTAAAAACTGAATAATATGGCAAATGACGCTGTGGAAATCTTTCTTGATATTCTGATACTGATTGTCGACCGTTTCAATTGCAAAAAAAATACACGAAAATTATATCAGCATACTCTTCAGTGCTATAAGCGTACATTTTGAGTTTCTTCTTGTATGTAATAATTAAACCTTACACCAAACTGATATATTACAATGACAACTTTGTTTTTGTTGAATGTTTGATTTTACTGACTATTAATAAATTCGCTGCAGAAAACTTTAAAGTGTTATAATTTCGTAAATAATTGAAATAGGATATATGTTCATTAACATTTTTTTTTTGGTAATTGGATTAGCTATCATATGTCAAAGTTTGATGGTGAGCTAATAAATCAACCTGTATTTAAAGATTAAAAATGTTTAGACTAGCTGTCATAATTTTTGCTCTAGCAGTATATGTGGTTGAAATTATGCCACCACTTACAGAAACACCATATATTTTATATAGGGTGCCCATTATTTATGGAATATAGTATATATCTCGGTAAATGTTGACTTTATAAAAAAACATTTTATACAAAAGTTGTTTAATATTTTATTTGCCATAATAAGACAGCATTCAATTGTTTATATTTCAGAAAACAAATGAGCAATGAATAACACTTGAATTTTTTTAAATGGCAATGTACCCTTTCGTTAGGCTCATTTGATAGAGATTGTTTTTCTCTTTACGATGATGTAAAATTTTAGTACCCTTATATCAGAAAATGTTTGAAAAAATTTAAAAATTGTTATTAAGAAAATTTTTAGTTTTTTATGAGTTAATATATTTTTTTATTATTTATATTGTATTATTTATTTTAAAATATACCTTTGGTGCTTCTTTATATTTTTATTTTGTATTTATTTTAATAATTAATCTAATAGTAGATGATCAGATAATTGTGCAAATATTCTCATTATTAAAAATGTATTGCCACATTTAGACATTGTTTTGCATTCTACGTAAATTAAATGTTTAAATTTAAATTAATGATATACAAATTTTTTGATCTATCCGAAAATATTAATCGCTTCAGGTTTGTTTTTCTTGGGAGACACTACGCCGACGTCTCGGTTACTGAGAATACCGAGCTCCACTATGTCTCGGGCAATGTTTGGGACGGAGCAATATTTGCGATGTTGCCGTATTTATACTCCACAAGCAATCAAAACGGACTACACGTTTTAAACCCATTTTATTTAAATTTGCTGCATTTAATAAAAAAATTGAACTCTTTAAATATGATTTACTTTACATTCCACTACCTCGTGATGCATTCCGTTTTTAAAAATTTTTTAAAACGTGATTTTAGAAACGTTACGCGACATTTTTTGAAAAAACTAAATGCATCACTAAAAACTATATAAAAAAATAGAAATTTTGATGTAACAAACATACAAAAATTTTAAACGATGGCTGAATAAAATGGTATTCGTTGTTTTTGCTAATAGGTTATCCTCTTAAACCAATTCCTATTATAGCTGTATTGCGATAATTTAACAAAGCTAATTGTAAATCACAACCCTTTTTCAAAATCGATTTTACAATTTTGACCGCACTTTCAGCTTGACCATTTGATCTAGGATATCGAGGACTACTTGTCTTTCACTTGTCCACTCACTGACTTTACTAATTTCACTTACAGATTTTATTTTCTTCTCATCCTGAGCTTTTCTAAGGAAATTTCTTTTTACCTTGATTGAAGATAATTGCAAACACTCTTCTTCTTCTTCACTCGATCTGTTATCTTCTTTTACTTCTCTTACCTTCTTCCTTTCATTCTGTTTACATCCAACTGCATAATGATTGTATTTTTTACTAATCTTACACTGCCACCATATGCTGGACAGTTTCTTGGCCCATGTTTTCTTCCACACTTTCTGCAATCATATTGTTGCTGTTTTTCCAGATTTTTGTCCTCTTCGCTTATTCTTTTACTGCTCCCTATGGACCCTTTTCTTAGTTCACAAACTTCAGTATGTTCTCGCTGTATTTTCTTTACATTGGTTTTCGTTATTTCAAAATTTCTACATGTATTTATGACTTCACTAAGTTTTATATCTTTTAAGTTCAGTAACTTTTCTTGTAGTACCTTATCATTACATCCGAACACTATTCGGTCTCTTAGCATCTCCTCTGAGTTTTGAAATTCACATGTTTTAATAAGAGTTTTTAACTCCTGTATAAAATGCTCATACGTTTCTCCTTGCTCTTTGCTTCTATTATAAAAGCGGAATCTTTCATACAATACACTCTTTTTAGGATTAGTGTAATTTTCGAACTCTTTGATTACCTTTTCATAATCTGTTTTCTCTTCTGTATTGATCTCGAAATTATTAAAGACTTCTAGTCCTTCTTCTCCAATAATATTTAGCAAAACTGCAACTTTTCTTTCACTCGGATACATCTGACCTCCAGTTGCCAACATATAAATGTCAAACATTTGTTTAAATTTCTTAAAATTTTCTGCCACTTTGCCTTCGAAACTGTGCGGTGGAGGCACTCGTGCTTGTATATTCCAACTTTGCATCTGTTCTCCTTGATTGACAGCCATTTTGCTTTTTTATAACCTCACTTATAGTATATTTGCCCTCTTTCTTGAATATTACCTTAACCTCACTTATAGAATTTGTTTAATGTTCGCAGCGCCATGTTTTGTCTCTACTTATAATAATTAAGACACCACTTTAGTTAACTGTTTATTATCAATTACTGTTACAACTATTACACACGTTCATCTAGTTGTCTAATACTAATGCTTATACTATCCGAAGCACATGCACATGCAATCCATGTTACAACTAGCAACTAGCACTGTTACTATGTAGAATTAACACTATAGCTAGAACTAGAATCATTTGGGTTTAGCCGCACGTCTCTAAAGACGGCTAAACCCAAATGATTCTAGTTCTAGGTATAGTGTTAGTTCTAGTTTTACACTTGCACTATCACTAAAACTAACACTCTACCTATAACTAGAATCATTTGGGTTTAACCGCACGTCTCTAAAGATGGATACGTTCATAACAACAGTGTTCATAGGGAGTTGGATAACCTTATACAGTATGTTTACTCAACGGACTTTGATTCTGCGCTTTTGGTAACTCGCGATAAGATGGCGGATTTTAAATCGAGGTGCCGCCAACATCAAATGAATCGACGTCAATGTCATTTGGTTTAAATATTACAGGAATAACTATAATTTAATAAAGTTATGCAACCAAATTAACAAAAAAAGTTACAGAATTCTTCAATAACAAATTTCTTCAAAAGATGTCTCCACCTCAATGAAATAATTTGAATTTAAATTTTTATTTTAATTTAGGAGATTAATAACGCAAGGAAATTAGGTTTATTACCATTTTAGTCACGCGATTTCGTGTTTATTGATGAATTTCTTAACCATAACGAGCCGCTCCTCGGTCACTTTACCCACTAATTGTAATTACAACAGAAATAGATTTGTTAATTCTAAGTTGTGAATCAATATGTAGAAATATTGATTAATTGAGAGTTAAGTAAGAGAATTAGATTTAAAAAACGTATAAATGGTACAATTATTTTTTTCATTGGCAGTGGTAACTCGGTACCTTTCTTTATCGATGATGTCATACTAAAAGTAGTGAAATGCAAAATTGCAACTCGACAACGGTTTTTATTCCGTGTGTTAAAACTGTGCCAAATTCCAAACTGCACCGAGTATTATTCAAACATAACTAAACGTAAACAACTTATTAATATTAATAAAATTATTACGTTTTCTCTTTAATTTCACTCCTTTTATCCAGACAAAAAGTTTAGATCACATTAATTTTACAAATTTATTATGGGTTTTAGAACAATATTTACATTTATTTATGTGTCATATTCTTCTCATATTACGTCATCTTTGGATCTGTCTAAAATAGTGGTTGTAGGTACAACACTTCTTAAATGATATAATAGTATTCTCAGGGATCGCTTTCCATGTACACTCACTGAGCAAGTTCAAAAGCAGAAGTTCGTTCAATTTTTTCTGTTTTTTGTTAATTTTCCAACAGGATATCTTTAAAGACGTATACCAAGTCAAAGACCATACTTGTATCAACCATTCCAATATTATCTCTTCCGTCCATCCTTTTTATGACAAAATTTTTCAACAATTATAAATTAAAGCATCTTTTCAATGATATGGTTTTGAAATATCCTATATATAGCTTTTCTGCTAATTTTAAACTTTCTTTAAAGATCTCAGTGTTTAATGATATAAATGTGGATTGGTTAGAGTTCTCTTGTTATTTAGTATATAAATAATTTTTGAAACTTTTTCTTAAATTTCTCTTCCAAGTTTATTTTCGTAATGTAATTTGAAACTCAAATGTGCTATTGTTAAAAATTATGACCCTGATTTGCTTTGTCGGCGAATAAACCGCGATTCTCTCTCCACTACTACAAAGCGTTACGTTTAACTTGAAGCGAGCGCGGTTTATACACACAACAAATTATTATAACACTTTCGATTCAGTTCTGTTTCAACTAGCGACTTCAAATCAACCCACACCATTTTTTTTATACTCACCTATTTCTTAGCGCAAGTTTTTTTCTCGTCGTTTCAAATTTAAATGAAATTTATAAGAATGTGCAACTTTTCATAACAAATTCATAACCAGTGAAAGTTATGTAATTTATTTATTTTTGTACCACGAGGATTTTTTCCGATAATAATTTTTGTTTATTTTTAATGTGTTGAGGAAATGGTTGGGAAACGCTTAGATTATGCATGTAAGTTTTTTTTAAATCATTTCTTTTATAAATTAAGTTAAATAAATTGGGGGGTTAAAATGATACTCGATAAAAGCCACACCTTTTAGATTTCGAATTGGGGTGGCGAGTAATCGGGAAGTTTTTCCGACCGGCAATCAAGAAACGGCTTTGAAAGCTATTACGATGGAAAAATGGGGCCACAGCAACGAAATCCGATAACTTAATTGACAACCAAAAGATAAATTTAACTTCTCATAGAAAATAAACATTTCAAAATGTTTTATTTAAATAAAATTTTCTCGCCGGTTTAATTAACACTAATTTGTTTGGATGATCTCATCTAAACTGACCACGGTTAACAAGAGGCATATGAAATGCAACTCATTGGGTGGTCATATTCTCATTATATTACTTTTTAACATGGTCCATTTAAAATAGAATCAATTTATCTTATCGAAATGATTTTCTTAAAACAAAATGAGTGAGTTATAAATATAGAAAACAAAAAGAAATTGATGAGTCAAGTGGATGATCATCAATACTCATCGGTGGTCAACTCAATAACTTAAACAATGAGGTAATATTAGCTTTAAGGTGACAAATTGTTTAAAGGTGGGCGTTCTAAACGGCGAAGAGATAGTTTGCGAAACCGAATGGTCTTGATGACGTAATTGTTTGCGTCAAGAAGAATATTTTAATATAATTAATAAAGTTAATAAAATATAAATTGTCACATAACGAATAATTAAATTAAAGATTCTATTGATATTGAATAAAAAGAGGTACTAAAAAAATTATAAAGCAAACAAATGTTGAATTCACAAGATAATATCTCAGGAACTAAACGATATTTTTCAAAACCAAGTGGTTTATTGAAAAGTGGATGCTTTAATTGATAATTGGTGAAAAATTTGGAATGATTTTCCGAGAAATCGATTTTTCCCACATTATTAAAGTTAGTATAGAAAAATTTAAAAATTACTAGAAATTGTATAGTAGAGTTAAAAAGTTTATATCTCAAGAACTAAAAGTGATTTTTCACAAAACAAAGTTTTTCATTGAAAAGTAGATGCTTTAATTTATAATTGGTGACAAATTTGGAATCATTTTCCAAGAAATCAATTTTTCCCACATTATTAAAGTTAGCATAGGGAAAATTAAAAATTACCACAAAAATGTGGTTGAGTTAAAAAGTTTATATCTCAAGAACTAAAAGTGATTTTCCAAAACGGAGTTTTTCATTGTAAAGTAGATACTTTAATTTATAATTGGTGAAAATTTTGGAACGATTTTCCGAGAAATCGATTTTTCTCACATTATTAAAGTTAGTATAGAGAAATTTAAAAATTACCAGAAATTGTTGTGGAGTTAAAAAATTTTTATCTCAAGAACTAAAAGTGATTTTCCAAAACGGAGTTTTTTATTGTAAAGTAGGTGCTTTAACTTATAATTGATGAAAAATTTGGAATCATTTTCCAAGAAATCGATTTTTCCCACATTTTTAAAGTTATCATAGGGAAAATTAAAAATTACCACAAAGATGTGGTTGAGTTAAAAAGTTTATATCTCAAGAACGAGTGATTTTCCAAAACGGAGTTTTTCATTGTAAAGTAGATACTTTAATTTATAATTGGTGAAAATTTTGGAATCATTTTCCAAGAAATCGATTTTTTCCACATTATTAAAGTTTAGTATAGAGAAATTAAAAAATTACCAGAAATTGTACAGGGTGTCTCCGAAATGCGTGTACAACGGAAGACCACAGATTTCTTGGCTCAAAATAGGTCGACTTAAGTTAAGTTATCTATATCCAAAAGTTGCTTCGTTTTACCGCTAGAGGACTTCAAAGTTAGCAAAAAAAATTTCTTTTATTTTTTATAACTCGAAAACGCGTAAATCAATTGAAACCATTATTCAGAAGTGAGTTCCTAGGTTCAATTAACGTCTTTTTATGGTTTTTGATACAATTTTAGAAACACAGGAATGATGGAAAAGCCAAGTGTTCACCGGATATTACTCCATTTTTTTTTCTGGCCAGGCGACAGTTACATTATTATAATTTCTTAATAGCCTATTCAGTTCTAAACTGTTTTTGTCTCTTATAAGATTTTGATTACATAAGTGGTTAAGCCAGAAAAAAGGTATTTTTAAATATCTGCAAGCCTTGTTTACGTCATTGCAACAAAAGTTACCTCATCGTAGTTGACACTGATTTCAACTAGTTGCAATTTATGTTTATATGATTTTAGTTGATGGCCAATGTCAATTTAATGGTTGCAAAAGCGTTCAAGTCTTAAGTCGGGAAAAGTTTGTCGAGTCGGTTGGCACTCGACGATTAGGAAACTCCAAACCGAAATACATAGACCGTGGATGTCAACGCACAAGGCAAACTGTAGAATTAGAAGAAAGGGTTCTTGAAAGAGTGGCAGAAGACCCTAAAATTAGTACGAGGCTCTTAGGAAATCAATTAGAAGTCTCTAAATATGTTGTCCATAGGGTAATAAAAAAACAATTATTACACCCATACCACCTTCAAAAAGTGCAAGAGTTTTTACCTGTAGATCACGAAATGCGTTTGACTTTCTGCCAACTCATCCGAAACGAAAGAATCCACGACCCACATTTTAGTAGAAGGATTTTATTGACAGATGAGGCAACGTTTACTAGATCTGGTATCACTAACATGCGTAACGATCGTATCACTATTATGCTGAAGAAAATCCGCATATGACCACAGCAGACCATCATCAGCATCAATTCAAAGTCTATGTTTGGGCAGGAATTATTGGCAATAACATCATTGGACCGGTAATAATACCAAATCGATGGATTGGAAGGGAAGCTGATGCCCCAATAAAATGGCTACCAAGATCACCAGACCTTACACCGTGTGATTATTTTCTCTGCGTGGCTTTGAAGTGAAAAGTCTATGCCTCTACAACTGATAGTGAAGAGGAATTTAACAGAGTGCAATTTAAATTTTTACGACTAGTAAATTTATGTATTTTGAAAAACGGTGGTCATGTTGAACAATTTTTGTAAATATTTCCTACTTGTTATGTTGGTATTTGTTGAGTTTATTGTTGCCTTTTGTTTCTTAGAATTGACATACGATTACGTTTTTTCCTCACACTGCTTTTAGGATCATTGAATTTCCACGCTTTTGATCAATTAATGATATTGTATTCACGTTAAACATAAATTGCAATTAGTTGAAATCAGTGCCATCTACGGTGAGGTAACTTTTGTAACTGCAATGACGTAAACAAGACTTGCAGATATTTAAAAATACCTTTTTTCTGGCTTAACCACTTATGTAATCAAAATCTTATAAGAGACAAAAACGGTTCAGAACTAAATGGGCTATTCAGAAATTGTAATAATGTAATTGTCGCCTGGCCAGAAAAAAAAATATGGAGTAATATCAGGGAACACATAACTTTTCCATCATTCCTGTGTTTCTAAAATTGTATCAAAAACCATAAAAAGACGTTAATTGAACCTAGGAACTCACTTCAGAAGAATGGTTTCAATTGGTTTACGCGTTTTCGAGTTATAAAAAATAAAAGAATTTTTTTGCTAACTTTGAAGTCCTCTAACGGCGAAACGAAGCAACTTTGGATATAAATAACTTAACTTAAATCGACCTATTTTGAGCCAAGGAATCTGTGGTCTTCCGTTGTACACGCAATTCGGAGACATCCTGTATAGTAGAGTTAAAAAGTTTATATCTCAAGAACTAAAAGTGATTTTCCACAAAACAAAGTTTTTCATTGTAAAGTAGATACTTTAATTTATATCTTTAGAAATCCATATTGAGAGTTATAAAATAATTAAATATAAAATATAGCTATTTAAATAAATTAACTTCTTTCTCGCAAAAAATTTTAATATAATCACAACCGGTTTCGGCTAATAAGCCATCATCAGCTGAATTGTCAAAATGAACTAAAAAAACAAAAAACTCAGACGCAAGTTAAAAACTTAATTTTTTTTTAATGACTTGATTTTTTAATGTTGTTTTAATGACAAACAATTTGTCATTTCATTTGTCGTTTGTAAAGTGTTTATCTTGTTATTTTATCCCTTTTTACTTTAAAAAAATTTTAAGTTTTTAATTTATCTCTGACTTTTTTGTTCTTTTTTGTTCATTTTGGCAATTCAGCTGATGATGGCTTATTAGCCGAAACCGGTTCTGACTATATTAAAATTTTTAGCGAGAAAGAAGTTAATTTATTTAAATACCTATATTATATACAGGGTGTCTCAGCGAGACCAGTCATTAGACGTTTTTGGGGTTCTAGCCAAACAAAAAATTTGAGAATGCAGACTTAAGTATTATCAATTACGTTCTCTTCATCTAAAATATTTTCAGATTTCTAGCACTTCCGGTTATACCGGAAGTCGCCACCTACTTTATTTTTTTAAATGGAACACCCTGTATATTTTTACATATTTGGATTTGTCTGTTTTGAAGGTTTATAAATAACTTTACTTTTTGCAATTTGAACCAGCAATTCTCGAGTTATTCGAATTTTTCTAGAAAAATTTGCTCCAGCGGACATTTGTTCAAAAAATCATAGAACACTCAATTTTTGAGATATCAATTTAGGATTCAGAACATGCTTAAACAACATGATGGAGTATGTTTTGGTGCCGAGAACGGCTGTCTAGATCGTTTGGTCACTTTACTATGATACGTTAACTTTTCGAAATTTGGAAGCACCATAACTTCATTTTTTTAAATGGCACCCCCCATATTTTATTACTTAGTCGTCTTCGGCGTCTCATTTTACATCTTTTATATTCCATATGTCCTATGCCTAACATTAATAGTTTGAGAAATAATTAGGGTTTTTTGAAAAATGCTCACATATCATATGGATATTAACCTAGTGTGCCATGGAAAACAAATGTTTAATGACTTATTGATAAACGTCAAAGTCTAATTTAGGTTGTTTGATGCTTGTGAGTCTAAAACCAGTTAAAATGGATATTAATAACGTAAATAATGTTTATACAAATGAAGAAATCCATAATTTATTTTTTGTGCACGAAAAGTGCGACAAAGTTCTTAGTAGAACTTGCAGAATGTTTAATGAAAATTATCCACATTTATCTCCGATGACAAAAGGTAAATTTAGAGGAATAGAAGCAAATTTTTTGCATTTTGGACGAATTAATCACGTGTTAAACTGACCAAAAAATGTAGTAGATAATGCAACGGAAGAGGTGAATACCTTGGCTTATTTCGAGCCCAGTCCCAACACCTCAATTCGAGCTGCCAAAGAAGATCTGGGAATCATACTACGAACTTTGTCGCGCTTTTCATGCAAAAAAAATAAATTAAGAATTTCTTGATTTGTGTAAATATTACTTTCGTTATTGTTATCGATTTTAACTCGTTTCAGTACTAATATTAAGGGACATAACAGATAATTATTAGCTCACATGCATCAAGTGACGTAAACAAGTGAGTCTTTGACAAGAACTCATTGAGAAGGCTTGTTTTTCATGGCACACTAGGCTAAATATCCATATGATATGTGTGCATTTTTCAAAAAACCCTAATTATCTCCCAAACTATTAATATTAGGTATGGGCCATATGGGATATAAAAGATGTAGAATGAGACACCGAAGACGACTAAAAAATAAAATATGGGGGGTGCCATTTAAAAAAATGAAGTTATGGTACTTCCAAATTTTGAAAAGTTAACGTGCCATAGTAAAGTGATCAAACGTTCTAGACCGCAGTTCTCGGCACCAAAACATACTCCATCATGTTGCTTAAGCATGTTCTCAATCCTAAATTGATATCCCAAAAATTGAGTGTTTTCTGATTTTTTGAACAAATGTCTGCTGGAGCAGATTTTTCTAGAAAAATTCGAATAACTCGAGAACGACCGAATCAAATTGCAAAAAGTAAAGTTATTTATAAACCTTGAAAACAGACAAATCCAAATATGTAAAAATATACAGGGTGTTCCATTTAAAAAAATAAAGTTGGTGGCGACTTCCGGTATAACCGGAAGTGCAAGAAATCTGAAAATATTTTAGACGAAGAGATCGTAATTGATAATACTTAAGTCTGAATTCTCAAATTTTTATTTTCGCCAGAACCTCAGAAACGTCTAATGACCGGTCTCGCTGAGACACCCTGTATTTAATTTATAATTGTTAAAAATTTTAGAATGATTTTCCAAAAAATCGATTTTTCCCACATTATTAATTTAAAAATTACAAGAAATTGTTGTAGAGTTAAAAAGTTTATATGTCAAGTACTAAAAGTGATTTTCCAAAATGCTTTTATTAATAATTTTTGACTTTGATAAGTTTATATTTATAGAAAAATCTGGTTAATAACCCACAACCGAAAGTTATTACAATAAAAAAATTAATTAATATAATCCAAGAAACACGAAAGGGACATTTTTACCTCTTTTGATTTATAACTTTGACCTTCTTTCCTCGTAACCTATTTCAACAACCACCTAAAGGTTAACAGACAAGATGGGTTGGGTGTCATGCCCTATATAAAAGGCGTTACATCATCATCATTTTCCAAAACCCAATCAAAATCGATACATTTATTTAAAAATTAATTCATAATCAATTATTTCATAAATTATAAAATCAACTCGACGTAAATCACGCAATAAAGATCACTTTACAAAATTAATACATTTGATTGACGAGCAATAAATGTATCTGGAAATGCATTTTCCAAACAAACTGTAACAAGAACGGATGCAAAAGTGGGCGATTTATTTCGATCGTTGATCAAGCGTTTTTAACGATGATGACGACGGCAATGTTACGATATTGTTAGGCGTCGATTTTTGGCGTCGAGGCGCTTTACGTATTCAGTTCTACCGAGAACTTCGCACCAAACGTTTCAGTCTTAACCGAGATACAAATCAAAGTTTTCTGAAAACAATGTTTTCTTTTTAACTTAAAAAAGATTCTAATAAGATTTAATTGAAATAAAATTAGGATAGAAATTAGAAAATGGTTGGATATTATAGCCAAGGTAAATTTAGACAAATTAAAAACAAATCTAAATTTAAAATTTAAATGAATTATTAATTGTGAAATATTTGTTTTGGTATTTTTAGGTGTTCCAACCGCCCCGGAATTAGAAAATAATTCCAATCAAAAAAAATACACAGTAAATCGACACCCAAAAGGAAATATTTCGATATCAAAACCAGCTTGTGCTGTTTTTGTTATGGCAGCGTTACTTTTGGCTGCAATAGCCGCGGTGATAACTTATTTTTTAGTACCAAATTGTGATGGGCACTCACTTCCCGAATCGTTAACGAAGTTAGACGAAGAAAAATTACCTGAAGAAACAACGATTAATTACACAAGATTACCTCGTAGTATTCAACCTACACATTACAGGTATTAAACCAAATTTGATTAAAACAAATATTTCACTGTCTGGTTCAGTGGGATTCCAACATGTGTCTCTTTCTTTATAAATTACGTCAGTATTGTTAACGCGCCAACAATTCTCGTAATAGATTTCTAAAAGTGAAATAGTTTTGCGATGATGTCAAGTTAAAACATTAAAAAAAATAATAAATTTTATTTTTTAATTGTAGTTTATTTATAAGTCCAGAACTGGAGGGAAACTTTACAACGAAAGGAAATGTTACGATAACGTTGAAAATTGCAGAAAAAACGAATACGATTCGTTTAAACGCTTTAGATTTAAAAATCGATTCAAAGTCAACGAAAGTTTTCGCTTCCAATAATGAAACTAATATGAAACAAATTAAAATTAATAAACAAATCGAAGATAAATCTGATCAAGCCTACACAATTTATTTAGATGAACATTTAAACGAAAACGAAGAATATAAATTATTTATTAAATTCGAAGGATTTTTAAACGATTACATGGTGGGTTTCTATAAAAGTTCTTACATCGATGACAAAAATAATACCAGGTAAGAAGAAACTGGTGATTTGGTTGTTTTTGTTTATAAAAGTTTTAAATGATCGTAAACACTTCGAGATGTAGTGATATTTTTAGAAGTAGGTCGGTATTGTTTACCTGGTGTATGTAATACTCTTTTTAGATGGTTGGCGAGTACGCAATTTTCGCCAACTGACGCTCGAAGGGCTTTTCCATGTTTCGATGAGTTGGATTTTAAAGCGAAATTTCAAATTAATATTGGTAGGACGGCTGATCGGCAAACTTTGTCCAATATGAAAATTGATTTTTTTACATCGTAAGTACATAGATTTTTTTTTGTTTACTTTTAAAATAATCAAAACTCTACAGAAATAATTTCAAGGTTTCACTATAATGCAACCATAATACTAATAAGTTACACTAACAAAATTTGACTCAAATACGTTTGTAGAAACACATTTTAATTCAAAATATTTATATCTCAAGAACAAATAGTGATTTTACAAACCTTTTTCATTGAAAAGTAGATGATTTAATTTATAATTGGTAAAAAATTTGGAATGATTTTCCAAGAAATCGATTTTTCCCAAATTATTAAAGTTAGTATATAATAAGCATTTTATTATTTTTTAATATTTACAATTTTCCCTTTAATACATTCTAATATACAGGGTGTACAAAAAGTATGGAATAATGGTTCTACAGCCTAAACTTCAACTTAAATTAAAAAAGTTTTAAATAAAAGTTACTTGAAACTATTTTCCGCATATCTTGGCGTATAAATAAAATAAAAATGATGACGGCAGTCTGAGTTACGACATGGTGAGTGTGTTTTTTAAATGGAACACCCTGTATATTTTAAGGTTTTTGGATTCTTTTTGACAAGATGTTGCAAAATGCCATAAGGTTTTAATGCTTTAAACTGCATAGTTTTCGAGATATGGAAACTTTTATTTAAAAAGTTTTGACGTAGCGACAACCAAATTATGGCGTCATTATGGAATAGACAACCTAAGCTTTGACGTCACAGGGATGGGCGGAGCTTATACCGACTCCAAACATTTTCGTAGCTAACTGTAAATCACCAAATCGTCGGTGATCAAATTATTAAATCTACCAATTCCGAAAACTTCGCGTATATTGAAATACACGTTTCCGCTCAAATGCTTAAAATAAAAAGCACTTAACTAGGACTGTCAATGTAAAAAAATTCAGTTTTTCTGTCTCCTGTAAAATTTTCCGAAACGGAGTTACGTGGTTTTCTTACTAAGCCGACGATATGCAATTTATCATTAGTGTTAAATTAAAATAAACTAAGTGATGACATTTCAAATGACATTTTTTGTCGCTTAGGTTGTCTATTCCATAATGACGCCATAATAGACTGCCTAAGACTAACGTCACAGAGATGGGCGGAGCTTATACTGACTCCAAACTAAAAAAATCGCCAAAAAATGTCATTTGAAATGTCATCACTTACAATTAGTTTATTTTATTTTAACACTAATAAAAAATTGCATAGGGTGATTTACCGTTAGCAACTATGACGTCTCTATGACGTCAGGCTTTCGTTGTCTATTTGGTTGTCGCTACGTCAAATCTTTTTAAATAAAAGTTTCAATATCTCGAAAACTATGCAGTTTAAAGCATTAAAATCTTATGGCATTTTGCAACATCTTTTCAAAAGGAATCCAAAAACCTGAAAATATACAGGCTGTTCCATTTAAAAAACACACTCACCATGTCGTAAGTCAGACTGCCGTCATCATTTTTATTTTATTTCTACGCCAAAATATACGGAAAATAGTTTCAAGTAACTTTTATTTAAAACTTTTTTTAATATAAGTTGAAATTTTGGCGTAGAACCATCATTCCATACTTTTTGTACACCCTGTATATAATTAATATATTCGGCCCAATCATCCCCTCATCCATCCCTTTGTCTCCTCACCCCCACAACCATTCTCATCCATAGTTTCCCCTCTCCCCCCCTCTCCTAAGATCTGCCCTCGGTCCAACTCCTCCTCCCTCAATTCACTGCACCCATTCAACATATGTTCCAACGTTTTCCATTCCTCCCTGCATAGCCTACACCACCTCTCCTTATCGGCCATCCAGTATCTGTTAGCTCTCTCCTCCTTTCCACAACGGAACCTAGCCACCAACTTCTTCCCTTCCTCATCTCCTTCCAATAACAAGTATCTAGGCAACCCCTCCGTAATTATGTCCCTGCACCTTTCGTTATACCTTCCCTCTTTTATTTGTGTCCTTCTTTCCTGTCTCTGCACATCTCGGTCTCTATCTCTCAACTCTCTCCACATCTCCCTACCCACCCTTCGTCTACTATTTATCTCAGTTACCGAGTAGCCCGCTCGTCTATAATAGTTGTCTCTGTCTCCTTTCCCATATCTGATTTCTTCCTCTCTAATTTCCCTCCAACACTCCCCCAAGATCCCGCAGTTTGACCTTCTTTCTTCATATTTCACTGCCCTCCTGCCCGCCTCCACTCTGACCTTATCCACCTTTACCTCTTCCCTCACTATATACCCCGGTGTTTCTCTCGCCACCCCAAGCACCCATCTCCAATATCTAGCTTGCACATCCTCCAGCATTGCCCGCTCTCTCCATCGCCATACATCATCACACTGCTAACCAGACCTTCAAACATAATCTTCCTCGCTGCCACATTCCTTCGAAAGACTCTCTTCCCCCAACCCCATACTGGTCCCATCACCTTATTCGCCTTTTTTGCCATAGCTATCACACCCTGTTGTCCTCCCTAAACACATACCCCAAGTAAGTATACTCCCTAACCTCCTCGATCTCTTTTCCCTCCCATCTCCAGTTTTCTGTTCTTTTTCTCCCACCCTTATAAAACTTCATCATCCTTGTCTTCCCCACATTCACTTCCAGCCCCTTCCCCCTAAAATATCTTTCCAATGTCTTTATCATATCCTTCATCTCCGCCGCTTCTCTCGCCATAACCACGATGTCATCCGCGTATGCTAACATATGCACCTTTCTACCACAACTCTGCCATTTGTCCCTTCCCCAATCTATCCTCCAGGTCCGCCGTATTAAAGTTAATATAGAGAAATTTAAAAATTACCAGACATCTTTGGTAATCCATATTGCGAGTTATAAAAGTAAATAAATATAAAATTTTAGGTATTTAAATAAAATAACTTCTTTCTCGCTAAAAAATTTAATATAATCAGTACCGGTTTCGGCTAATAAGCCATCTTCAGCCCATCAACCCAACTATCCCTCACATTTATTCATTACCTAAACTTCACAAGCCTGGAATTCCTATTCGCCCCATAACTTCATATATTAATTCACCTACAATAGAACTCTCAAAATTAATGCTTAAATTCTTTAAACAAGTTAAATTTATTCCCAAATATAATAACTTAAAATCGTTCATTGACTCCATCAAAGACATTGACCTTAATAATAAAATCATTTTTTCTTTTGACAGCACTAATTTGTAGGCCAAGATATTTAAGAACTTTTTCAATGATAACGATATTACCGACCATCTTGATAATATGCTAGAACATATAGTGAAACAAAACTATTGTAATGAATATAATTTAATAATAAATATTATAAAGTTTCAGATAGCCTCCCAATGGGAATACCTTTATCCGGCTTACTTGCCGATATATTTTCAGATTTTATTGAAAATACATAGATATGCAATGATGTGAACCCTTATTATTTGGACACGATATGTTGATGATGTCTTCTGCGTTTGGAATGGTGATATTGATACCCTTAATTTGTTCCACAACTACATTAACGAGCTTCACAATAAATTAAAACTTACTATAGAAATGGAACAAAACAAAACAATAAATTTTCTGGATCTCACTATTTGCAATGAAAATAATCGTCCTTGTTTCAACATATACAGAAAACCGTCTTCTGTTCCCGTCACTATACCATTTGATTCATCTCATCCTCTAACTCATAAAATGGCCAATTTTAGATTTTTAATCAACGGAATTTATAATTACCCTCTTAAACAATCTAGTTATAACTTAGAACTGAAATATATTTATCTGGCACATAACAATGGGTTTCCCATAAAATTAATATCTAAAATAATACAAAATTCACAAAGAAGGTATGTCCAAACTAGAAATACAAACCGCTGATTCAGCTGATGATGGCTTATTAGCCGAAACCGGTACTGATTATATTAAATTTTTTAGCGAGAAAGAAGTTATCTTATTTAAATACCTAAAATTTTATATTTATTTAAAAAGCTTATATCTTAAGAACTAAATGTGATTTTTCATTGGAAAGTAGATACTTTAATTTATAATTGGAGAAAATTTTATAATGATTTTCCAAGAAATCGATTTTTCCCAATTTTTTAAATCTGTGATTGAATTAAATCGTTTTTTTTTTCCTTTTTTTAGGGAAGGAAACAAAATTTGGGATCACTACAAAGAAACACCACTTATGTCAACTTACATTCTAGCCTTTATCGTCCACGATTTTAAAGTGCAGAACGTTAACAACTTCGCAGTTTGGTCTCGAGAAGGACATCTTCCTGAAACTTTATTCGCCAAATCAATCGGACCAAACATTTTAAACTTTTTCCAATCATATTTTAACGTTCCATATCCATTAGAAAAATTAGACGTAGTCGCTTTACCGGATTTTGGATTTTCCGCCATGGAAAATTTCGGGTTGATCACATTTCGCGAATCGAAATTACTTTATTCCGATTCAACATCAACGACGGAAAACCAAAGAGATATAGCTTTAATTTTGGCTCATGAATTAGCTCATCAGTGGTTTGGAAACTTGGTTACACCGAAATGGTGGGATGATTTGTGGATTAAGGAAGGTTTTGCGACGTTTTTCCAGTATTTGGGCGTTAAAGAAATTTTACCCGATTGGAATGTGATGGACGAATTTTACCAGTGTCAAACTTTAGAAGCTTTTAATATAGATAAGTTTGCTTCTTCGCGGCCGATTCATTTTCAAGTCCAAAATAGTAACGATATCCGCCAAGCTTTCGATCGAATTTCGTATCAAAAAGGGGCGGCTTTAATTCGAATGTTGCATAATTTTTTGGGGGAAATCACTTTTAATGGGGGATTAAGGGAATTCATTAAAACTTATTTATATTCGAACGCAAACAACGTGGATTTATGGAAAATTTTGACGAGTGAAGCTCATCGAAATCGTGTTTTAGACGAGGATAAAAGCGTTGAGGAAATAATGAAAACTTGGATGATACAAGCTGGTTACCCGGTTATTAGCGTTACAAAAAATAACAATCGATTAATTTTAAATCAAAAACGATTTTTGATTAATAACGAATCGGAAATGACGTCGGAAAAATGGTGGGTTCCGATTTCTTACGAAACGGATGCTTCGAGAAATAAAATCAAAACGATTTGGTTAAAACCAAACGAATCCTACACCATAAACGACTTCCGCGACACTTGGTATCTTTTAAACATAAACCAAACGGGTTATTTCATTGTTAATTACGACGAAGATAATTGGCGAAAATTATTAGAGATTATAATGCATCTCCAACCTGGTATTCGAGCCCAATTAATCAGCGATTCAATGGATTTAGCTCGAGGTGGATTATTAAATTACGATGTCCCGTTAAAAATGATTTCAACGATTGGAAGAAGCGATGACGATATTAATTACGTTCATTATTTAGCGATTTTTGAGAAAACCAATTATTTACACAACATTTTACGTTCAACCCCTATTTATGGACACTTTGAAATATTTTTTTTCGACACTTTCAGCTTTGCTTTTGAATCGGTTAAATTCGACGAATATCCGAAAGAACATTATTTACGAAAACGGATTAGAAGTTTAATTTTGAAACAAGCTTGCAGAACATCCGATTCGAAATGCACAATCGAGGCTAGAGTTCGATATAGAAATTGGATGAATAGGAAATCGAAGTAATAAGGTTTTTTTTTAATTTTGATTCGATTTAAAATTTAATTTTAGTGATCTCGAGGTGATTCCGCCCAACGAACGCGAAATCGTTTATTGTACGGCTATAAGAGAAGGTGGACACCGAGAATGGCAGGCTGCTTATCAAGCTTATTTGCAATCAAATTCTACGTCTGATAAAATGATTTTGTTGAAGTCTTTGGGGTGTAGTTCGCAACATTGGATTTTAGCGCGGTAAAAAAACCGAAAATTGTTTATAATTTACAATATTTTACTCTCCCAAAATCTGCTTTCTGACCATCACATCCTCCCTCAGATCACTACACCAGCATGTGTTCCAGCGTCTCCAAATCCTCTCCACATACTCCGCCCAGTACTTGTTCCCTCTCTCCTCATGCCACAGCGGAATCTGGCCAGCAATCTCTTCCCTTCCTCATCCTCCTCCATCAACAGATACTTTGGCAGTTCCTCTGTCACTATATCTCCCTTCCCGTATCTGTGACCTTCTTTCCTGCCTCTGTATGTCGCTGTCCCTATCGCTCAGTTCTCTCACATTTCACCTCTCTCCACTCTTCTGTTCGTAATAATGGATGTTGTCGATCCCAGTTAGTGAATCTTCTCCTTGCCCATATATCAACCTCCTCTCCTTGATTTCCCTCCAGCACTCTCCCAGGATCCTGCAATGCGGTCTTCCTTCTATACTTTCTCGTATTTCACTGCTCTTCTCCCAGCCTCAACCCATACTGCTCCATCTTAACCTCCTTACATATCCTGGAGTATCTCTCGCCAACTCAAGTACCCATCTCCAATACCTTGTTTATACATCCTCCAGCATCTTTGTTCTATTCATCCCATACTTGTGGGCGTACATCATTGCACTCCTCACCAAACCCTCCAACACAACCTTTCTTTCTGTCTCATCTCTCCCAAAAGTTCTCTCCCCTCATCTCCATATCCCAGGTACGTATACTCCTTCACTTCCTCTATGTGTCTTCTGACCATCACATCCTCCCTCAGATCACTACACCAGCATGTGTTCCAGCGTCTCCAAATCCTCTCCACATACTCCGCCCAGTACTTGTTCCCTCTCTCCTCATGCCACAGCGGAATCTGGCCAGCAATCTCTTCCCTTCCTCATCCTCCTCCATCAACAGATACTTTGGCAGTTCCTCTGTGACTATATCTCCCTTCCCGTATCTGTGACCTTCTTTCCTGCCTCTGTATGTCGCTGTCCCTATCGCTCAGTTCTCTCACATTTCACCTCTCTCCACTCTTCTGTTCGTAATAATGGATGTTGTCGATCCCAGTTAGTGAATCTTCTCCTTGCCCATATATCAACCTCCTCTCCTTAATTTCCCTCCAGCACTCTCCCAGGATCCTGCAATGCGGTCTTCCTCCTATGCTTTCTCGTATTTCACTGCTCTTCTCCCAGCCTCAACCCATACTGCTCCATCTTAACCTTCTTACATATCCTGGAGTATCTCTCGCCAACCCAAGTACCCATCTCCAATACCTTGTTTATACATCCTCCAGCATCTTTGTTCTATTCATCCCATACTCCAACATAACCTTTCTTTCTGCCTCATCTCTCCCAAAAGTTCTCTCCCCTCATCTCCATATCCCAGGTACGTATACTCCTTCACTTCCTCTATGTGCCTTCTGTGCCAGCAGCATTCCTCCCTCTGCTTGAATTAATATTAATTTGTTTAACTTAAACTATTTCATTTTAAAGATTATTGGAACTAACAATATCGAAGAACTCAACAATTCGAAAACAAGATGGGGCGGAAGTTTTTCGATCAATAGCAACGAATTTCCATGGACATTCTTTGGCTTTTGAGTTTTTAAGAACTAAATGGGACGAAATTAATCGATAGTAAAGAATCCACAAAAATGTTTTAATCGAACTAAAATTTTTTATTTTTTAGTTACGGAGTCGCTTTTAGAGCTGTTAGTAAAATGGTCGAGGATCTTTCTACGTTTATGTACACGGAATTTCAACTCCAACAAGTAATCATTCATTAAAACAATCAAATTAAATGATAATTAATTTTTTTTAGCTCGAACAATTCAAAAAAGAAAATAAATACAACTTAAAAGCGACGGATCAAGCGTTCGATAACACGATAGAACAAGTTAAAGCGAATATAGCTTGGATGAAAACCAATTATGACTCGGTTTCGAATTGGTTAAAAGAGCATTTAGCTTATTTACAAATTGATGTAAATAAATAAAAGTTAAAAGAATAATCTTATTGTATTTATGGAAAAGAATGCTTTAGAGAATATAGTCGATCTGTTTGACTATATAAATATAATAAAAATTTAAAATAATATCCTAGATAATTATAGAGTTAGCTAAACGATTTTTTTTATTTATGTTTTTAGGTTATTTAAATGCGATTTTTTATGTTTATAAAATATTCTTTTGTGTCATGAATAATACCAAATAAATAACAATAATAATACACTGTTTTAAAAAGTATCATCCATATCAATTCCTTCCTGCCCTGTGCTACCTGGACCCAATTAGCAAATCTCTGGATGTCATCCATCCACCGAGTTAGTGGCATAAATAAGTAAATTTCTCTCAATAAGTATCTTTTAACTTGTAGTTAATACGAAGTAAATTCATTAATCAAACTTAATAATTGAATTAAACGTAATGAAATTGTAATAACATAACCAAACAAAATAATAACTCAAATTAATCATATTTAAGGTAAGTGAAATTTTAAATAAAATTAAAATAAATAAAAAAAAGCGAATAATAATGTAATTATAACTTAGCTTATCTTGTAGATTATTGAAGTTCTCGGATAAGGAAACTTGGACTCTTCAAAGGAATCGGAGACAATGATTCTTGATTGGATTGGAAAATTCTTCAGATACTGGATTAATTGGATCAGGAACTAGTTAATTTTCTTTTTTATTATTAAAGGTGGTTTTAATTCAAATAATCTTCTTATTTAACTTATTAACATAATAAGTTTACTATTTTTGAGGTTAAGTCACAATGATGTTTGACAAGTACTCTTATTTTTGAATTTTAAAATAAACGAGGACAAAAATTAGCGTACACTCCTCATCACGTTCGAAATCACACTAAAATCTACCAGTTTCGTTTGTTTATTGCTAAAACGTTTTAAATAACGTGTTCTGATTGGTTAAATTCTTCAACTTGAAATTCGTAATTTAAATTTCTCCGATATAGCCAACTTCGAAATGTCAAATGTCACCAATTAAATTTTATCAAAAATTATTAAAATTTCTATTTTAACAATATTTATGCTTGAAATGTTGTAGTTTTATTGCTTTAACTTTGTTTTGTTGATTTCGAAACATTTTCTTTTAGATTTCAACGTTCAGCCTCAAAAATATATTAAAATTTTTAATCTACGGATTTTCGTCGAATTCTTCGTTAAAACTCCCATATGATGAATGGTTTTCGTTCTTGACATGCTAAGATGATCGTTTTCGATAGTTTTAACCAGACAAATATTAATTACAAGAAGAAATTAATGAAAAATGAAATTTGAGGTTATGTCACTGTCAAAATTCTACAAAATTACTTCGTATCGATTTTACATGGATTAAATACAATAAAGAACGTAAACGGTCAATGAATTTTAACATATTTACAACATTTTATTAATACAAAAAGAAATTTCTATAATTATTATTCGTAACCTCACACACGATTATGCAAAAGTTAAGAAAAAATAAACGTTTTACTTAATTAAATTACATTCTTTTTCATACAAATTCATTATAATCTCTTAAATAGCACTTGTATAAACTAAAATAACGATTAATATGTTTATTATTTCAAGTTAATTTAAAATGGGTCTCAACATGCTTAACAAAATCTTCCATAACCATCTCAGGAAATTCTTGGGAGCACATTGGACAACAATTTCTTACAATGTTCTCTTTTAAGAATTGATTGGAATTTTCGGGGGTTCCCCATCTAGCTAAACTTTGAAGTTGCATTTCGTCTTCATTCAAACCTTCTTTAACGATTTTTTCTTCACTTTTGGAATTATTTACCAATTGGTTCTTACAAGTACACAATAAAACGCTTAATTGCATATCGTTTAAACTCTTCTCAAACGTTTTATTTTGTTCGTTCAATTTATCTTTAATCACTTTTAAATCGATCAAATGTTCCTCCATATTTTCTACTAAGCTATTATCAGGATCATCATTTAAGTACCCCAAACTAAGAGATTTTTGTAGCTCGTCCATTTCAGTACATTGAGCTTGCAATTCGGTTTTTTCTTTCGTTAAATTTGTAATTGCTTTTAATGAAACGTCCTCTAATTCTAAACTGATGCGATTATTTTCATTTATCGCTTTATTAACCGTTTTTAAATCGGAATCGGATTGAGTGAATGTTGTGGATCTTATCAAACCTTTTTTCGTGTGTTGATTCAACGAATCGTTTATTTTCGTCAAATGTGATCCTAATGATTTATTAACTTGAACGATTTTCGATAATTTCTCCCATAGTTCTTTATTTTCGTTAGTTACATTGATCAAATCTCTGCGTAGTTTACCTTTTTGTTCGGTTAATTTTACTATTTTAGCTTTTAATTCTTCAACTTCCGTTCCGGGCACCTCCGAACGTTTGCATTGCATTTTTAGGCGCATATTTTCTTTCTCTAATCCATCGGCGAATGATTGTAGTGTTTTATAACGGTTTTGTAATGTTGTTATTGCTACGTTCATTGCGTATTGGGGCCCTCCATCTTCGTCCGTCATCTTAACCTTAAATATATAAACGAATTTTTTTATTTCTAGTTTCTTGATTAATTATGTGAAAGTTATCTTATTTGATTATATTTAATGATTGAATTAAAATAAACCAAAATAAAAATAAACTTAACCTCAATCTAATAAATTTTGACAGATTGCATTTTTAGTTTAAATTTAGTACTTTGTTGATAGATGGCGACACCCTCCAATTAATTTTTATTATTATTTTTATTTAATAATTTATTAAATTAATTATTATAAAGTTAATTTGTTTTATTGGAACTTTTTTTTGAAGGATTTTTTTTGCGGTTTAAAATTTAAATTGCTTTATTGAAACAAAGTTTTAAATCGCGAAAGTACCTGAGACTGCTCCCCTTTTTTGGGGGGATGTAGAGAGCCGGTAGCGGGACGATAAATTTGGCGGAAAGTCGCCGACAAGTCTGCGGTGGCGCCCAGGACGCGAAGTTTCGAATCAGCAGAAGTTAAAAGTGAAATATCGGGACCCATAAAACTGTGGGCACTTTATCTCGGATCGGTGAGATTCGCCGGAGCCGCGTATATCAAACCTTACGTCCACTTTTTTGTAAGATTTACTAACTGCCACCAAAGAAAACGAAATATTGAAAAATTAAATTAGAAAATTTCCCGAGAAAAAGGTTAAAGTGTCAAATTTGACGTTTATTTAAAAGGTTATGTATCTGTCAAATTTGACGTTTATTTAATAAGTTATTTAAATTTGTCGTTTAAAGAAATGAATTTTTAAAAATAATTTATTTATATAAATCAATACTTTTTTTCTTTTTTAAAAGCCACCCTCTTCTTTTCCAATTAGCTGAGTAACCCTCTATTAATATTTCACCTATACATAGAAAGGGGGATTTTTGGATGTCTTGTAATAGCAATAGCACTTGCTGCAAAAGAGAAGGAGGAATCTTCGGTTCTTGAGATCCATCCATCTGCTTATTCTTTCCGGGCAATTCTTTTCAAACTTACCATCGGCATCATCACTCAGCGTCAACTTCCGGGATACAATGGGGTGGCGCTTTGTCCCTCTCTTTCTCACTCCATTCCCTCGAACCACCCCGCCTCGCGGAAAACGGAGGGGTCACCCCGATAAAGAATTAACCTCTGTTACAGTTTTAATTAATGGCCGATTGAAAAACTTGAGGAATTTTTTAATGGCGCCTCGGAGTCTTTCATTTTCTCCTTCTTTTTGAGTTTTTCCATTCCTTACATTTTTTTTTCCTTAACCCCTTTTGCAAGAATTTAATTTTTTTAAATCACTATTTATTTAATTAGGGTTAATCGAAACATTTCCTATTAAATTAAATTCGTTTAATCGAACCATTATTTTTGACATAACTGTTAATTATTTTTTCCTTCTTTTTGAGTTTTTCCATTCCTTAGATTCTTTTTTCCTTAACCCCTTTTGCAAGAATTTAATTTTTTTAAATCACTATTTATTTAATTAGGGTTAATCGAAACATTTCTCATTATATTAAATTCGTTTAATCGAACCATTATTTTTGACATAACTGTTAATTATTTTCTCCTTCTTTTTGAGTTTTTCCATTCCTTACATTCTTTTTTCCCTTAACCCCTTTTGCAAGAATTTCATTTTTTTAAATCACTATTTATTTAATTAGGCTTAATCAAAACATTTCTCATTAAATTAAATTCGTTTAATCGAACCATTATTTTTGACATATCTGTCAATTTAACGTCAAATTTTAAGTTTAAGACGCGTTTTAACACGTTAATTTATTATCGTTATTTTTATTGCGGTTTAGGATGTTTTGTTAGAGAAGCTCTAACACTGTGTTATATAGTGTGGTTTTTTTGATAATGGTGAGTTGATAAAAATTATGGTTTCGTGTATCATAGAGTTATAAGAAATCGTGAAAAAGTGGGTTTTTGAAGTGGAAAAGGCGAAGGGGGAGGGTGTTACTTGGGGACTCAATTTCATTTCGCAACTCCACAAGTCAAACTTTAATATTTTTACATTAAGACGTCGTCGTCGCGGAATCGGAAAAAGTTAGTCGCAGTCAAGGAGAAGAAGAAGAAGTGGGCGTCGCCAACTTTCGACCTATTCAATTTGCATAATTTATAAAATATTTCTCGCTGTTAAATTAAAGTCTACGTGTCATTGTCTTCTCCTCCTCACTTTTTGCGATTTATTACTTTGCGTCCAATTTTTTTATGCAAGAATAAATTATTGGTATTAAAAAAATTTTTGACGTTCAAACGTCAATTCGATTCATATAGGTTATGTTTAAAATTATACAGGGTGTAACAAAAGTATGGAATATAGCTAGTATACACGCCATTTGTGATTTAAATGAAAAATGTTTCAAATAAAAGTTTCCAAATAATATTTGCTTTTTTTTTTATTCTTCTTAGTTTCGTTTAATCACCAAATTAGAATCAAAGTGTCTGCTACAACAAATTATGGCGTAATTAAGCGAATAACAAATAGAAATTTTATAGTATGTATTTATTAGCTATATTTCATACCTTTGTTACACCGTGTATAATAATAAGAAATAAATTTAAGATTTTTCAAAGTAAAATGTAATCAAGAAACTTTTATAATATAAAAAAACTCATTATTTTCCTTTAAATATTTCAAGGAAAACTTTTAGGGATAATAAAGGAAATATATTAAGCGGAATAAAACGCGTGCTGTTTCTTGAGATTCTTTGTGAATTATTGTTGTGGAAAAGCGATTATAAAATAATTTAAAGGAATTTTTTTATACTGATGGTTTGATCTTTTAATGGAAATGATGTGTATTTTGAGAATTTCTAAGTTATACCTAATTTTATCTAAATCGTTGACACCACCATGAGATGTTGGACGGAGCAACACAATCAAAAACAGTCAAATCGCCTTGAAAGATCGTTCAAGTAGACATTGATAAGGAGTGGATAAAATTAGAACCGTGCGGGGACTTTAGATATCACAATCGATAAATATTACAGATGTTAGATACGATGAAATCCTTAAATACCTTTTTGTAGTTTAGTATTATTCATAGCGTTAGCAAAAGAAAACTTACCTTACATAACATTCCTTCCCGGGGTGATTGACATTTCTAAATAAACCTAACAAAACGTAATGAGCAATAAAATGGAAAATTTTCACTATTCAAAATGTTCACCATTAACTGTAATCACTGCCTTACAGTATACCTACCATAAAATGCTTGGGAAGAATTTCTGAGCGACCAGGGAGAAATTGCTGCAACTTCATCTTGAATTTGTCACTTTTGATTTTATATATCTCTACAAAAAGAAACTGTAAAGGTGTAAGATCCGGAGAGCTACTCCACTGATCCTCGTCAGACCCTCAACTAACTTCATATCTTTTAAAGATTTCCCTTTCATCGATCGATGAAGTTGTCCATAAGATCAACACCTTCCAGGTGGGCATTCTATTCTTCAATTTTTGATGTTCCAATTTTCATCGATAACTTACAAAATTCGCTATAAAATTAATTTCTTGAAGGATCCTTGTGAAAATATCACCAATTAATTAATTAAAGTATTTTTGCCGATTAAGTTTTAAAAATTCGTATAAAATCCATTTCTTGGAATATGAGTCTGAAAATTTTTCAAAATGTTAATAAAAGTGTCCTCTTTCCAATGAACCAACCCGTTTTGTTATTAACTTTTAGTTTTTGAGAAAACAATGTTTGAAGTTTTGAGAAAATTTTTGATGTTGCAATTTTGATCGATTATTTTCAAAATTAGCTATAAAATTAATTTCTTGAAGGATCCTTGTGAAAATATCACCAATTATTAATTAAAGTATCCTCTTTTTAATGCAAAAAGCCGTTTTGAAAAATCACTTTTAGTTCTTGAGAAATAAATTTTTGAAATGATCGACAATTTTTTCGAATTTTGCAATTTTCGCCGATTAAGTTTTAAAAATTCGTATAAAATCCATTTCTTGGAATATGAGTATGAAAATTTCCCAAAGTGTTAATAAAAGTGTCCTCTTTCCAATGAACCAACCCGTTTTGAAAAATAACTTTTAGTTTTTGAGAAAACAATATTTGAAGTTTTGATAAAATTTTCGATGTTGCAATTTTCATCGATAATTTTCAAAATTCGCTATAAAATTAATTTCTTGAAGGATCCTTGTGGAAATATCACCAATTATTAATTAAAGTATCCTCTTTTTAATGCAAAAAGCCGTTTTGAAAAATCACTTTTAGTTCTTGAGAAATAAATTTTTGAAATGATCGACAATTTTTTCGAATTTTGCAATTTTCGCCGATTAAGTTTTAAAAATTCGTATAAAATCCATTTCTTGGAATATGAGTATGAAAATTTCCCAAAGTGTTAATAAAAGTGTCCTCTTTCCAATGAACCAACCCGTTTTGAAAAATAACTTTTAGTTTTTGAGAAAACAATATTTGAAGTTTTGATAAAATTTTCGATGTTGCAATTTTCATCGATAATTTTCAAAATTCGCTATAAAATTAATTTCTTGAAGGATCCTTGTGGAAATATCACCAATTATTAATTAAAGTATCCTCTTTTTAATGCAAAAAGCCGTTTTGAAAAATCACTTTTAGTTCTTGAGAAATAAATTTTTGAAATGATCGACAATTTTTTCGAATTTTGCAATTTTCGCCGATTAAGTTTTAAAAATTCGTATAAAATCCATTTCTTGGAATATGAGTATGAAAATTTCCCAAAGTGTTAATAAAAGTGTCCTCTTTCCAATGAACCAACCCGTTTTGAAAAATAACTTTTAGTTTTTGAGAAAACAATATTTGAAGTTTTGATAAAATTTTCGATGTTGCAATTTTCATCGATAATTTTCAAAATTCGCTATAAAATTAATTTCTTGAAGGATCCTTGTGAAAATATCACCAATTATTAATTAAAGTATCCTCTTTTTAATGCAAAAAGCCGTTTTGAAAAATCACTTTAAATTCTTGAGACATAAATTTTTGAAATGATGGACAATTTTGCAACTTTCGCTAATTAAGTTTTAAAAATTTGTATAAAATCTACTTCTTGGAATATGAGTTTGAAAATTTATCAAAATGTTAATAAAAGTGTCCTCTTTCCAATGAACCAACCCGTTTTGAAAAATAACTTTTAGTTTTTGAGAAAATAATATTTGAATAACTTGCAAAATTCGCTATAAAATTATATTATATTTCGCTTTTCGATTATATCAGCATCAAAAAAGTTCATTTTGATAACCGGATATCCAGCCGAATATCCGATATCCGGCTTTTCGAAAAATCACTATCCGTTCCATCACTCGTAAAGAATAGTAAAAATAAGAATCCCAAGAAACTTACGTAATTCCGAGACAGTAATAAGTTCTGAAAAGTTGGGGTTCTTTTTTAAAGCACATTTTTTTGACTCATTCACAAGAAATGTATTAAATGATTTTGATATCCACAAATTATACGTTATTATAATCAATTTTTTTTTTTCGGCAGGATCCAGCCCCTTCCAAAGAGCAAGGAAATGACGTAGGCAGATAGCACTGGTATTATTGGTAAGTGTTTTGAAGTTTTAATCCCAACAATTAGTTCTTTACGCGAATTTTGACACTTAACTGATTAAGACTTTACTAACGATGATGTAGTAAGTCATAGCTTGTCTGTTATCAATGTAGATTACAACGTTTCTGCCAACTTTTTTGGAGTCGATGATCACACTAAATGCTATATTTATAGCAGTTATTTCGGGTTGAGTTTTAAAAGGTAATTAAAAAAAGACAAAGAATATGTTTTAATTTTTTTTTTGAAATTTTATTTTTGTGAAACAGCAATATGTGAATTTATAATAATATTCATATAATCAATTTTTGTCTTAAAATTAGTATTTAAAATAACTTGTATTATATCGGTTACGAAAAAGAAAAAAACGAAAAAATGTAGGCACCTGACATAGCGTTTCATCAGCTTATCATCAGCTTATCATCAACTTATCATCAACATTTCATCATCATCAACTTAAATTGTTTTTTTTTCTCTTCACAATCGTTTATTTTATTATTATTTCTTTTGATATTATCCTCTTAATAATTCTCGTCCATTCTATGACATTAAAACGATATCACAAACGATTCAACAATTACAATATAATGAATTCGGACAACATATGAGGTACACAATCGGTATTTTTATTTTATTTATTTTTTTCTTTTCATAAAACATTTTCTTATGCGTGTAGTGACTCCTTTTTCGCTTTTGTTCTTGCGCATTATGACTTAAGTATATAATAATAATAATTTTTATTTTAAAAAACATCTTTTTGTGTCTTTCAACAATTGACAATGTCTCGGAGGATTTAAATGTAGTAATTGACTATTTATTTTCCTTATTTTTTTTTGATTTAAGCTAATAATAATAAGGAAAATTAAAAAAAAAACCGAATTTATTTTTATAAATTATTGAAAATTCTTTTTTTATATTACGCAATTGTCCTACGGTTTTTATTAATCCATTTTTTTTTTAATAATTAAGAAAATTTGCTAACTTCTCCTATTTATTAGATACAATGCCTAAAAATTAACTAACTTTACTCGAAATAACAAAATAGAACATCTCTACTCATCAAAAAAATGTACAATATACATTAATAATAAAATTAAAAAAAAATTATATTAACTAATTAAAATAAAAAAAAGAAAAAACTAAATCGATAATGATTTTTATCGATGACAAAAAAAAACGATACAAATTATGATTATGACCAGTACCAAAATGACAAGAAATGATCGGGGTTGGGTGAAAAATATAATAATTAAAAAAAAATTTAACTTAAACTATTTAATTAACAACAAAAAATGATTTTCTCTTTTCCCCACGAAAAAAAAAAACAAATCTAATCCTAACTTTAGAGCTAATTTCCTTTCTTTCTTCTTAATTTATTTATAATATACACATTTACGTCATCCGTTTTTAAAAATTTTGGGTGAGGAGAATAAAAATTAAGGGACTCGAGGGATTCGTTTTTTTTTTAATTGTTTTTCTGTATACACACGTATATACACACACACGATTAATCGTTTTTGTTTCTTTAATTTTTTTTCTTTAAATAACAGGCTGCCTGAATTCAAAAATAAAAAATTAAAAAATAAAAAAACAAAACGTTCAATGCACACCGATTTCTTTTCTCATTAAAAATTGACACAGATGAGCTTGGCGACGAATTTCTTTATTAATATTACGCATTTTTAAATCTTTTAAAATTAAAATCTATCATCTATTTTTATGTACTTAAAAAAATGTTTTTTTTTTTAATTTAACTTTTTTCATTAATTAATTAAAAACATGGCACCTGTTGGGATCATAGTACGACATCGAAGAACATTTAAATGTTAAACCGCGGCGTCGTTTTACACGGGAGGGTATACACCGAAAGCGAGGCGAAACCTTTTTTATTTTTTAATCTATTTTTTTTTTGTTAAATTTTTTTTTAATTAGTATGTAGTAGTAAATAGTACGAGATCAAATTCGCGCGCAATGTACACATTTTCGTTTCTTATTTAAAAAAAAAAAATCCTTCGATTTTCGATTGGGTTCATGAACATCTTAAGTAGGGACGTTTATAGATGAAAAACCCTGAAAATAAAAAAATTATACAAATTACATCATATTGTATCTACGAGATTAAGAAGAATAAGTTTACATCGTTAAAAGAATCAAATTCAAAATTAACCCCAATTGTAACTCAAAAACCGAGATATATATTATATCCCATACATAATGGACACCTGTATAATAAGGTATAATAGGAAGCAGTATTTAGTCTTTTTCAAGCAAAATTTAATCTTTTCGCTCTTCTACAAACAATATTTAGTTTCTGCAAACTGTATTGAGTCTTCTACGAGTAATATTTAGTCCTTAGCAAGCAATATCTAGTCCTTTACATACAGGATGGTTCAGTTTTTAAGGGGGAGAAATTCAGAATACCTTTGATTTTTTTATAACAACTTTTTAACGCCATGGAATATTAACATAAAAAAATATGGGTTGTATTATTCATTATTAGTACTTTTTTGTCTCTTTAGTTTTTTTCTTAAAGATAATAGTTTTAGCGTAAAAAAATAAAATATGCTACATTGTACTTTAAAGCACTACTATTATTAAAAATTTTTTTTCTTTATAGCTGGCTATGGAAGTTGTGCACTTACTAGGATCTAGTACTAACTAAATAACAGCAATTAGTTGTGATTTTCATAAGAAAACCCATAAATAAGATGAATGTCTGTCTAACAAATTACGTTGTTTTAAACAATTTTAAAAAATTGGTACTCTTTCTTAATAACAGTCAAAAATTATTAATAATCATCAACAATTAGAGGATTCACCGTAAATCAAACTTACAAGTTCTCAGAGCCAACTTTTAGAATAATTTTAGCTCAACTTTGACAGCACATAGCTCGAAAACAAAACAGTTGCGACCCTATGTTTATATAAAAAACTTGTGTTATTTTGGCAAGTACTACGTCCTAGTAAAGTTTCCCGATAAAAAAACTGAACCACCCTGTATACCTAGTCTTCTGCAAGCAGTATTCTGTCTATTACGAGCAATATTTAGTCCTCAGCAAGCAGTACCAAGTCTTCTACAAGTATTTAGTCTTCTGCAAGCAATGTGTAGTCTTTTTCAAGCATTATCTAGACTTCTGCAATCAAAATCTGGTGTTTTGCAATCTATATTCAGTCTTCTACATGTAATATTTAGTCTTCTGCAAGCAATTATAATCTTTTGAGCGATATTGAGTCTTTTAGAAGCAGTGTTTAGTCTTTTTCAAGCAGAATTTAGTTTTTGGCAAGCAGCATCCGCTCTTCTACAAACAACATTTAGTTTCTGCAAACTGTATTGAATCTTCTACGAATAATATTTAGTTCTGAACAAACAATACCTAGTCCTTTACATATATTTAGTCTTCTGCAGGCAGTATTCTGTCTATTGCGAGAAATATTTAGTCCTCAGCAAGCAGTACCAAATCTTCTACGAGTATTTAGTCTTTTGCAAGCAATGTGTAGTCTTTTTCAAGCATTATCTAGTCTTCTGTAATCAAAATCTGGTATTTTGCAAACTATATTCAGTCTTCTACATGTAATATTTAGTCTTCTGCAAGCAATATCTAATCTTTTGAGCGATATTAAATNGAATATTAACATAAAAAAATATGGGTTGTAAAGCTTATTCATTATTGGTACGTTTTTGTCTCTTTAGTTTTTTCCTTAAAGATAATAGTTTTAGCGTAAAAAAATAAAATATGCTACATTGTACTTTAAAGCACTACTATTATTAAAAATTTTTTTTCTTTATAGCTGGCTATGGAAGTTGTGCACTTACTAGGATCTAGTACTAACTAAATAACAGCAATTAGTTGTGATTTTCATAAGAAAACCCATAAATAAGATGAATGTCTGTCTAACAAATTACGTTGTTTTAAACAATTTTAAAAAATTGGTACTCTTTCTTAATAACAGTCAAAAATTATTAATAATCATCAACAATTAGAGGATTCACCGTAAATCAAACTTACAAGTTCTCAGAGCCAACTTTTAGAATAATTTTAGCTCAACTTTGACAGCACATAGCTCGAAAACAAAACAGTTGCGACCCTATGTTTATATAAAAAACTTGTGTTATTTTGGCAAGTACTACGTCCTAGTAAAGTTTCCCGATAAAAAAACTGAACCACCCTGTATACTTAGTCTTCTGCAAGCAGTGTTCTGTCTATTACGAGCAATATTTAGTTCTCAGCAAGCAGTACCAAGTCTTCTACAAGTATTTAATCTTCTGCAAGCAATGTGTAAGCTTTTTCAAGCATTATCTAGACTTCTGCAATCAAAATCTGGTATTTTGCAAACTATATTCAGTCTTCTACATGGAATATTTAGTCTTCTGCAAGCAATTATAATCTTTTGAGTGATATTGAGTCTTTTAGAAGCAGTATTTAGTCTTTTTCAAGCAGAATTTAGTTTTTGGCAAGCAGCATCCGCTCTTCTACAAACAATATTTAATTTCTGCAAGCTGTATTGAGTCTTCTACAAGTAATATTTAATCCTCAGTAAGCAATACCCAGTTCTTTACATATATTTAGTCTTCTGCAAGCAGTATTGTCTATTACGCACAATATTTAGTGCTCAGCAAGCACTACCAAATCTTCTACAAGTATTTAGTCTTCTGAAAGCAATGTGTAGTCTTTTTCAAGCATTATCTAGACTTCTGCAATCAAAATCTGGTATTTTGCAAACTATATTCAGTCTTCTACATGTAATACTTAGTCTTCTGCAAGCAATATCTAATCTTTTGAGCGATATTGAGTCTTTTAGAAGCAGTATTTAGTTTTTTTCAAGCAGAATTTAGTTTTTAGCAAACAGCATCCGCTCTTCTACAAACAATATTTAGTTTCTGCAAGCTATATTGAGTCTTCTATAAGTAATATTTAATCCTCGGCAAGCAATACCTAGTCCTTTACATATATTTAGTCTTCTGCAGGCAATATTCTGTCTATTTCGAGCAATATTTAGTCGTCAGCAAGCACTACCAAATCTTCTACGAGTATTTAGTCTTCTGCAAGCAATGTGTAGTCTTTTTCAAACATTATCTAGTCTTCTGTAATCAAAATCTGGTATTTTGCAAAGTATATTCAGTCTTCTACATGTAATATTAAGTCTTCTGGAAGTAGTATCTAACATATCTAATATTTTAAGCGATATTGAGTCTTTTGGAAGCAGTATTTAGTCTTTTTCAAGCAGAATTTAGTTTTTAGCAAGCAGCATTCGCTCTTCTACAAACAATATTTAGTTTCTGCAAGCTGTATTGAGTCTTCTACATGTAATATTTAGTCCTCAGCAAGCAATACCCAGTTCTTTACATATATTTAGTCTTCTGCAAGCAGTATTCTGTCTATTACGAGCAATATTTAGTCTTCAGCAAGCACTACCAAATCTTCTACAAGTATTTAGTCTTCTGAAAGCAATGTATAGTCTTTTTTAAGCATTATCTAGCCTTCTGTAAACAAAATCTGGTATTTTGCAAACTATATTCAGTCTTCAACATGTAATATTAAGTCTTCTGCAAGCAATATCTAATCTTTTGAGCGATATTGAATCTTTTAGAAGCAGTATTTAGTCTTTTTCAAGCAGAATTTAGTTTTTAGCAAGCAGCATCCACTCTTCTACAAACAATATTTAGTTTCTGCAAGCTATATTGAGTCTTCTACAAGTAATATTTAATCCTCGGCAAGCAATACCGAGTCCTTTACATATATTTAGTCTTCTGCAAGCAGTATTCTGTCTATTACGAGCAATATTTAGTCGTCAGCAAGCAGTACCAATTCTTCTACGAGTATTTAGACTTCTGTAAGCAATGTGTAGTCTTTTTCAAGCATTATCTAGCCTTCTGTAAACAAAATCTGGTATTTCGCAAACTACATTCAGTCTTCTACATGTAATATTAAGTCTTCTGGAAGTAGTATCTAACATATCTAATATTTTAACCGATAGTGAGTCTTTTGGAAGTAGTATTTAGTCTTTTTCAAGCAAAATTTAGTTTTTGGCAAGCAGCATCCGCTCTTCTACAAACAATATTTAGTTTCTGCAAGCTATATTGAGTCTTCTACAAGTAATATTTAATCCTCGGAAAGCAATACCCAGTCCTTTACATATATTTAGTCTTCTGCAAGCAGTACCAATTCTTCTACGAGTATTTAGTCTTCTGCAAGCAATGTGTAGTCTTTTTCAAGCATTATCTAGTCTTCTGTAATCAAAATCTGGTATTTTGCAAACTATATTCAGTCTTCTACATGTAATATTTAGTCTTCTGCAAGCAATATCTAATCTTTTGAGCGATATTGAATCTTTTAGAAGCAGTATTTAGTCTTTTTCAAGCAGAATTTAGTTTTTAGCAAGCAGCATCCGCTCTTCTACAAACAATATTTAGTTTCTGCAAGCTGTATTGAGTCTTCTACAAGTAATATTTAATCCTCAGCAAGCAATACCCAGTCCTTTACACATATTTAGTCTTCTGCAAGCAGTACCAATTGTTCTACGAGTATTTAGTCTTCTGTAAGCAATGTGTAGTCTTTTTCAAGCATTATCTAGCCTTCTGTAAACAAAATCTGGTATTTTGCAAACTATATTCAGTCTTCTACATGTAATATTTAGTCTTCTGCAAGCAATATCTAACCTGTTGAGCGATATTAAATCTTTTAGAAGCAGTATTTAGTCTTTTTCAAGCAAAATTTAGTTTTTGGCAAGCAGCATCTGCTCCTTCTACAAATAATATTTAGTTTCTGCAAGCTGTATTGAGTCTTCTACGAGCAATATTTAGTCCTCAGTAAGCAGTACCAAGTCTTCTACAAGTATTTAATCTTCTGCAAGCAATGTGTAGTCTTTTTTAAGCATTATCTCGTCTTCTGTAAACAAAATCTGGTATTTTGCAAACTATATTCCGTCTTCTGCAAGCAGTATCTAGTATATCTAATATTTTGCAAGAAGTAACTACAAATATTTACAAAAATATGGAATAAATTTTTGTTATTAATTAACTTAACATAAAATTTTAGTGTATATTTATGCTACATCATCTTCTTACATTT